CTATGACAGACGTTTTTTAAATTTTATCAAGGCCATTTAAAAGATGTCTCCTTTCTAAGTTATTTTTTTTCCTTTCTTGACTGAACCAATGCACATAAAATTTTAATTACTTTACGGTTTGCCTCAAAGTAGAGCCTCGGGAATGGATTATCAAAGATATACAGAGCTGCCCTCTCTCCTCATGATCAAGGGGCTGGAAGAAACCTTGAGAAACATTCTGAGCAACTGGCACTGTGTAGAAAGACACATGACTCTTAAGGATTTCCAAGGGAGAAACACTTAGGAAAGAATGTTTCTTGTTATGTCTGATCTCAACTCCTGTCCCTATGGTCTAAGACCTTGGAGGAGGTTTCAGTCTCTTGCATGAAGTGGAGGCAGGGAACCTGAGCTCATGCCCTGCTCTAATTCTAAATGATTCTGGATCTGAGCTGAGTTGCTTCTTCTGGGCCTCAGTTTCCTCTAGGGTAAATAAGGACATTGAAATTGATTAGACTTTGGGCTGGCCCCATAGCTTAGTGGTTAGGGGAGCCAGATCCCTCATGGCCAACCTCAGTTCAAACTGGCCTTGGGCAGCTTGAGAAATTCACTGGGTGCAGGTATATGCATGCTCCAAATCCCAAAAGGACGGAAAAATGAATGAGGGAGACAGAGAGAAAGAGCACCCTTAACAGGGTCCTGATACCTCAATTCTCCGGCAGCCTCAGGCAGCCCCAGACCATGGATACACAAGTGTCAGGAGTGCTTAGGGAGATCTCTGGGCCTCTGTAGGTCAGCCTCTCAGAGCTGCATTTTACTGCTGTGCTAGCACCTGGCCGCAGGTCTACACTTTTTTTTTTTTTTTTTCACTATTTTGAGAAATCCAAAAGAAAGTACAAGTTTACCTTTTTCAGAGATCCTGTCTAGCACTAGATGACAGTGATGATGACAAGTGTATACTGGCCATCCTTTGATAGAGTTCAGCATAAACTTATTTAACACCACCCTTTTGATACTGCTCATTGGAGGCCATGGCTCACACGTGGAAGAGGAAACAAAATAAGGGAACTTGGGAAGGACGGACACGTTAAGGAGAGGCAGGAGCTCCTCTCCTTTCTTGTGGATGAGAAGCAGCATGGATGTGAATTGCACTGTGGTCCCTCCCCCCCTCCCCACCCCACCCCA